CCATCGAAAATATGTGTTTTCTGATGGTCTCAGGTGACCCTTGTGAAAGGGTCGTTCGACCCCCAAAGGGTCCCAACCCACTGTTTTAAAGCCAGCCAAGTAGATGACCATCACTATATCATTTAATCGTCAGCTTATCTACTTGCGAAGCTGCTATTTATTTTTTAGTGTATGAATCTTGACATGGATACAAAGATATAGGTGGAGGAATGAAAGTTACACATTCATTTGAACAAATAAATTTTTCTTATTTTTCATTGGTTTTCTTCCTTTCTCAGGAAGACTTTTTTGCATGTTGTTCTAGAGCAGAGGTGTCAAACTCGTGGGCCCATGGGCTGGATGCATCAATCACGCGCTGGCCATGCCCACCCCCATTTTAGTGAAGGGGGGGAGTCACTATATGTCACGTGACAACAATGTGATGCTGTGAGTTTGACTAGAGTATACCCCAGCTCTCACCAGAATAATTTTTTTGCATACACAGGAGGTTGCTGAGGGAAGGATGAGACTAGTGTGGCCATTCCATCAGCAGAATGAAAATTAGGCTCTAAGCCAGAATATGTGAATAATAAATATACATTGATCAATATTTTTGAATTGTTTTCTTGAGCCCTGGCAATATTTATAGCATACCAAAAACATTGCAGTGGGAATAAGTTTTTTTTTAAAATTCTTGGTTTGTCCTTTCTTAAGGCGCTCAGACTTATGGGCCGAATCATGCGTGAGTGCTGGTTCACCAATGGGGCAGCTCGACTGACAGCACTTCGTATTAAGAAGACAATTTCCCAACACTGTGGACAAAATTCCAAAGCTTAAATTTACACGCCTTGTAAAAATGGAACAGGAAAATGCATTTACTGTATGTCTTTGGTTTTTGTATTGTTTTTGATTTTGCTCTACCTCACATGATACTCAGAATAGTACTGCAAAGCCCAAATCCCAGAATACTACAATGTAGCTTCATTGGTTGTTCACATTTCATCAGAATTAACTTTTGGTTGCTGGGTGATGTGCGCCTTGTTTTGGCTCGTAAAGGAAAATGATTTATTTATTTTATGGGCATAATAATCCATGAACATGCTCCACAGTGTTGACATAATACTTCCTGCCATGGCAGCAGAAGCTCCTAAATTACATATGAGAAGTGAACATCAGCAAAAGTTTATCACCATGGCAGAGCCCTGTTCTTGTTTGTGTTGGTGGTATACATGAATTTGATAAACTAGACCAAAAGTGGGCAACTTGTGAGCTGATTTTATCACACCTTCTGTCTCGCTTCACTCTTATATAAAAACAGCTTCCTTTTTGGTAAACACTGTCTCTTCATCCCCCTGGTTTTTTAAAAAAGGAGAAAGGTTGAAAATAGATTTCTTGATCTATTTCTGGTGGAGCCCACTGCATTCCGGAAAGTTATCTCTGAAAGGGTGCAGCTGGTAAACACAAGGTTATTTACTCTCCGAAGTAAACTCTGAGGATACTAAATGTATTGAATCTTTATTAAAATATATTGACCACTTGCTTATTTAAAAAAATATTTGAAATGACCGGCTTTTCAATTCATTTCAAGAACTGAGAAGTGAGCCATAAGAACTCTTTAGGGGTTGAGCCTGGACATCTCTGGAAGATATGGTTGACTACAGGGGTGGGCTTCAAAATGTTTAGCAAGGGGTTCTTTGCCTGGCTGATGAGTGGGCGTGGCTATGGTGGACGTGGCCTAGTCGGCTTCCTGCACCATGGGGGGTGTTTTTGCCCTCCCCGGGCTCTGGAGGCTTTCCTTGAGCCTCTGGGAGGGCGAAAACGGCCTCCCCAGGCTCCGGAGGCCCCCTGGAGGCCAAAAATGTGCTCATTTCTGGCCTTCCCAAACTTCTCGTAGGCCCGTTTTTCACCCTCCTCGAGCCTCCATGTGTGCCCTGCACGTATCTGCATCCAAAACAGGCTGCATGGGGACTCCTGGGAGGGGAGGGGTGGGCAGGGCCAGCCAGGGGTGGGATTTGGGGGTTCTCCAAACTGCACAGAATTTTAGCTAGACTAGAGGTTCTCCTGAACCCCTGTGAACCCCCAGCAGCCCATCCCTGGTTGATTGTAGGCTTTGCTCAGAAGATTTCCACAGGCTGTGTCTTCATGTTAATTACCTTCACTTGATACTTTTTTAACTTTTTATTTTCAGCTAGCAACAGTGCCTGTCTTACTTTGTAGCAACCTGGAGGAGGGGGGACACACAGAAAATATCTGGCAGTGTTTCCATTTTTTGTTCAGGAAGCCCCTAGAGAAAAATGAGCCCACTCCCCACTGGTGGTATTAAAAATCCCCCTTAAAGAAACCATAGTATTTTATGACCGGGGGGGGGGGGTGGGGAATGCAAGCACACACCCTTGACATTGCCGATATAAAGAATCAAAAGGAGATACTGCCAGTCAGAGTTGATATGATTGGGCTAAGCCAGCCAGAGGTTTGGCTTTTCTGCATTCCTAAGGAAGTAAGCAAGTGAGAAACGGGGACCAAACTATCAAGGCATTTTTCACAGAACTTTGTAGAATAGGCGGTGCAATATGTGTGTGCGTGCACACACACACATGTATATATGTGTAATGTGTATTTGTGTGTATATTATATGCACACATGCACATTGATTTTTATTAATCAAATAAGAGTAATTAAATAGAACATGCTTACTGTGAAAGTTGTTCTTCTATTATTAGTCACATTATAGATGATCATTTATTTAAAGCTTTAACCACCACATTATAGTTAAATGTTGGAAATTCTATATGTTACATGTCTTTTGTCTTTAAATTTCAGTCTGTGAACGAAATGTTCTAAATCTAAAGTAGTGTAAACGTGACGGGATAAATCTGGAATGTCTGTTTTGTGGTGCCAAAACTTAGAACAAAGTCACAAGATCCTAATGTAAAATATGTGTAATGCTTACCTTACTTTTCACAAAGTGTGAGACTGTTTGGCTAAAAAGAAATAGCATTTTACACAACTCTGTTTTGATCCATAATTTTGAAAAAAAATATCACTAAAAACCCTGAAGAAATGGCAACTAAACACAAGTATCAGTATTAAACTTCTGTAAATTTGAAAAAAAATGGATGTATATATATATATTTTAATATGTTATTCAGTTGTGAAGATGTAGCTTTGATGTTTATTCTACAATCAAGAGTTGAATAGACATGCCTTTTTTTGTAAACTAATTGTGTTAAGATCTTCTCATGCAACCAATGTTTCCCATGTGACCAAAGCCGACCATGTAGAAAGATAACATGGGAACCATAATTCTCATATGTACCTATGGCTCACATGAATCCAATATGTCACAGGATCGCCAAATTTAAGGCAGCTCTTGGATGATTATGGTTTGCAAGTGAATGGCCTCAATTATTCCACTTCATAAACTATTTGAAGAGGAAACTAGTAACACCAAATTGTTGCTCATATCTCTGGTTGTAACTGTCTCTGTGCATGACAGAGAGGGTGAACTGTTCCTAATCAGCCACCCACAATATATTCAACCTGAAATCCCAAAAGTGAATCTCCAAATTTCTAGGGAAAAGAGCTGTAGTGTATATTCTGTATGGAAGAAGTCCCAGATTCCAGGGTGGGGCTAGAAAGAGATTTATTTATCAGGGAACAAAATGCTACCCTGAGGTTGAAAACGGTATCACTTTATTTTATTATTTCTCTGCCTTATAACAGGAATCAAGCCATCCATCTCAGGGGTGTTCATATTAATTTTGGAGTCTTAAAATGCAAATAAGAATGTTGACTTCTATCTTTCATTTTTTTTTCTAAAATCTTTAGGCATCCCTCAGCCAAGATTTTAACAATCATGAAAATAGGATTTCTGTTGATGCTGACCCTTAAGATGTGAATGTAACCTGTGCCAATACAATAGTAAATGGAAATTTATAAGTTGCCTATTGTCATCATCACCAGTATGACAATCATGCTTTCATCTTAAAGTAGCTTTTAGCATAATCCTAGCCAACTTGGGCTGAATTCCATAGCTAAGCAAGAGCAGCCCTGGTTAGCACTTGAACTGGAGCCAATGGCAGGCTGTACAAAATCAGAATACATCCCTCCCGAGAGAAATCAATAACAAACTAATACTATAACAATCCCAAGAAAACACTATAGATGTAGGCACTAGTAGCCACTCAGTTCAAGGGCCTTTAATTAATTAAGCATTAATGCTATTTATGCTGATATTAAAACAATTGAATATATCTAAGAAATGTGTGTCACATATTCATGTATAGTGATTGATGATGTTCCTTGTGCTTTAATAGTCATCTAAACACCCTGTGATTGATCATCTCTAAATGGTCCATTTATATACACAAGAATCATTTGATGCTACATTTCAAAAGTGATAAACAAGCAGAGAATAGCTTGAACTGATCTTGAGTCACCAGTGATGACTTTTTGAGGCGTAGAAGTAATAATCCTAGATTTTCTGTAGTGTCACCCTTCTATTTGTCATTTTGCTGTTATGCTTACATTTTAAAATTAGAATAACATTCTAACTGCTGAAATTGATATTGTTATGTGAAAATGTGAAAATAACAAGAGTGAGAAATGACTTGCATGTGACAATTGCTGCTCATTTTCTTTGTTCTTTAGGGACTGCTGAAAAAGCCTGAAATCGATAGTGTGCAATTCTCACATGTAGTTGCTTTACACTTAACAGAATGCTGCACAAAGAGGGAGTTTGTGTTTTAAAATATTTTGTTATAGATAAGCTTGTGCTTTTCTTACTTGTATGAAGTAATCCATAAGAATCAAGCACTTTCCACTTTCTACAGACACCACAATTGTATGGCTTAGGCGGAAAATAAGTATTAAATGAATAAAATAGGTAGTAACTCTGAAATGTGATGAAAGTGCAATACATTAAATCTGAAGAAAATATGTGTAACCTAGTTGTGCAAATTTATATAGGAAGAAATAAGTTCAAATGATGGTTGATGGTGGAGCAGAGCTCCATTCTAGAAGGGGATGATGTAAATTTTCAATTGCAAATGCCTATAAAGAATATGTGTTAAGAATAGATTTCTCTTAAGCTGTTTTTAAATAAAATTATGGAACTGAATGAGGAAATAGTTTTTGTACTATAACTTGCTTTAACCTAAGTGTATACTATCACAATAAATATTTATTTTTTAAACAAATAGCTTTTACTATTGCTGCTACTGCCTCTAGTTGTAAATAATATGTCTGTTGTATTTTTGTATACTACTTTTTGCCTCTCAAAGCATATTTTTAAAATGTCAATTTTACAATTTTAATTTTTCTTTGCTGTTTTTGTGAATTTCTTATAAACAATAAAAATTGAATGTCTGAGAAATGTTATCTGGTTTGCTGCTGACACACTCAAGCACAACTAATTAAAACACAAGGAGCCATTCCAGCCAAGAATTCAGACTTTCCCTCCCACTAAAACAAAAGTCATATTTTATCACTTTTTAATTAATAAAAAGAAAATACAAAAATAATCATAATATATCCATTTATCTTTCCAAAGCTACAAGACCAGCCTTTTTCTAGTAGTAAGGACACAAAGAATCAATTTAAGTTATCAGATTGTCAAATTCCACAGACTAGGTTTAAAACAATATTGTCCTCTGAATATCATAGCTTTTGTTGCACAATCATATTTATATAATCCACTACTTTCTCCAAAAAATTCCTAAGTATAACACATTGTAGAAACATTTTAAAGAAGCGTCTCCAACAAAATGCTGGTTTTGACAGTCCTTTTCCACACAAACATAATGAAGTCCAGTGAATTCTGAATATTTTTTGTTCTATAAGTCATAA